TTACTTTATGACACATGACTGATAAAGCTCTTTTTTCCATCATTCATATTCCTACTCTGATTATTTGACTGTGTATTTTGGCCTTGGAGGTAAAGTTTTGTGCTGTTATTATTTGAAAAAGAGACAGTAAGCTTTGCGTGGACATTATATTATAGATGGCCAGTTTTATAAGTAATGAAAGTTATAAAGAGTCATAGTGAAAGTTTTGTGGCTCCATAGTTACAGAAAGATAAGCTAATAAATAGTAACTTTAAAGACTTGGACCAGTTAGCATACAACACTAGTATTTGTATTTTTAAGTTATTTCCATATATGCTATACAAGTATGTATAAAATATTATTCTTACTCATTGTCCATCAGTCATCACTTTTATTATAACCCCCACAGTTCCATATAAAATTGGCATACCCTCATCATACAAAATTTAACAAATGATAAAATGTTGAAAATGAAGATTGCATTTACTCTCAACAGTCAGTATATTTACTATTTGGGTGTTTTTTTTTCTCAGATCCTCTTTGCCTAATTAGTGGTTATTTTTATTTCATGATGATTTGTTATAAGAATTCACATTTCCTACAACGTTTTATAATGGAGTTGATCTCGAAGATATAGCTCTGGAAAATGCATGCTCGTGGGCAATGGCTGTGGCCACTCCCAAGGATCTACTTCTATTGCCCTTCTGGGTTCATGCTATTGTTTCAGGTTTGACTCTTACTAGCAATGTATGAAGTTGCTGGAGAGTTTACTAGACCCCTTGTCAGTCTTCAGTCAACAACATTTACTGTAATGCTCCCAATTACTAGATCCTGAGCAACATTACACATTTCAACTTTCTGTCAGGTCTAGTCACGTTTATAAGAAGATATTACCATACAATTGTATCAGATAAGTGTGGAATTATCAGGACTTACAAGACAAAATATTAACATCTCTTTAATAGCAGTGCTAGGTATGTATATGTAGCTTGCATTATTTCTGCATTTTTAATAAATCTAAAATGTTTCCAAAGTGAATAATTTCTATGTTTAAAAAATAACTATGAATGACTTGGGGTGGATGATTTAGTAAAGTGTTTGTTGAGAAAGCAAGAGGATCTAAGTTTGATCCCCAGCACCCACGAACAAAGGTCAAGCATGGTGGTGTATGTTTACAACCCCAGCATTGGAAAGGCAAAGACAGGTGAATACCTGGGGCTCCATGGCCAGCCAGCCTAGCCTAATTTGCAAGTTCTAGGTCTTAGTGAGAGCCCTAGTCTCAAAAACAAGTTCCTAAGGATGACACTTGATGTTGTCCTTTGGCCTCCACACCAAGGGCACATATCTTCACATATACCTATAGTCACTCACATGCAGAGAGAGAGAGAGACAGAGAGAGACAGAGTAATGATGAATGGCACCATAAAAGTATTCAGAAGGAGAATTAACCCTTGTTTGAGGTGTCAGGAAAGCAACTCTGAGGAAGTGAAATGACATTAATCTCATTTGAGAGGCAGGCAAAAGATTTAGCTAGGCAAAGATGTGTGCAATTGGGTAAATGCCTGCAGGGCTATGTTAATAGCGTTTTTATACACATGGCTACATGTTAGACAAGCAAGGTAAAGGGAACAGGATACATGGAGGATTTTGCTGAGGGCTTGTAAACAACTCACAGGGAACCAGGTAAAGCTTCATGCAGGGTTTGAGGCAGTTGTAAACAAAGTCTGTAGAGATATGGGCCTACTACCATGGGCTGTGTAATAACCCATGGGCACTGAAGAGTCCCTACAGATTTCCACATCTGATGGGTTGGAAGAGGCAAACTGCAGGTTTGGTGAGGTAACAGAGGGCAGGCCTAAACACAGAGAATGGGAGATGAAGGAGGGACATTGTGAAGAAGTGTCCTTAGGAATCAAACAACTCAATGGGGTGGAATGGGGAAGTATGCCTGGTGTTGTGGGGGCTGATGATGTTCACAAAGAGTCAAATCCAGAGTAGGTAGAAACTGCTTTTGACTGGAGTTGGAGATGGGAGAGTTAAAGCAAAAATGATACAGAGAGTTTTAAACTTAGAGTGCTGCCTTTACGAATCTGATGAGTTTTTAATAGAGGCAGATGTTTATTACAAATGTGGCTAGTGACAAAGTGAGGTAGATACAGACTTTCAAGGACTTAGGCACTTTTAGCACTCTGTTACAGTTTTGCATCATACCTTCAAATGTGAGCAAGCAAGGTTGCCACTGAGACCCAGTTGGGGCTAATCACAGAGATGTTTTAGGGTTTGTCCTTGTTTTTTTATTAAACAGTTTTGGGGGTTGTCCTTTTATAAATTACACCTTTTGGCTTACATTTTATTTGGGATTCCTAAGCATCTTACTTTAATTGTTCCATTTATGGAAATAGGATATCCTGGCTGTTAAGTAGATGGGCCATACAGCTGAGGGTACATATTCAACCTCTAACCTTGCAAATCCTCTGCCTTTTGTCCTTACTTAATTACTCAGTTTCTCAATTTCCTCATTTTCAAAGTTTGCTTCCCCTTAAGTTGACTTGTAATGAAGATTCAGTGGATGAATCAGAGGATTTTCTTAGAACAACATCTGTCACTCGAGGTCATGTATTGTTACCGGTTTTGAAAATAAAAATACGAAGTACTGTGAAGCTAGGTAAATTCAAATCAGTTGTGCTTTGTTTATTATTAAAAGGAAGGTAGAAAAATGTAATTTTGTTTGGTTTTTGTTCTCATAATAGAGATGAGGCATGGTTTATAAGGTCCATCATGTGAGTGCAGAGGAAACTGTGAGCAAGGGTGTAGATTTGTCCTGCCTTAGCAGATCTAGTTCACTCTAGAACCTCTTGAACAGTTGTCAGTTTGTAAAATTTCCTATGTGTTTTCATGGCAGTTAAGAAATTCCCCCCTTGGGGCTGGAGAGATGACTCTGAAGTTAAGAGTACTGGCTGCTCTTGCAGAGAATCCAGGTTCAGTTCCCAGCACTAACAACCCTCTATGGCTCCAGTCCCCAGTGCTGCCTTCTGGCCTACTTGGGGACTGCATGCATGTGGTGCACTGACATACATGCAGACAAAGCACTCACACACATAAAATAACTTTAAAAAAAAAGAAGCCAGGACTGGTAATCTGAAGTAGAAGGATTACTGTGAGTTAAGGCTAGCTGTGGTACAGAGTGAGGCCTTATCAGAGAGAGAGAGAAAGAAAGAGAGAGAGACAGAGACAGAGACAGTCAGAGGAGAGACAGGGAGATAGTCTCACTATTTTCATTTGCTCTTCTCCATGCTACCTGTTTGCAGAGAAGAACAGAAACACAATCCAATAAGCACTGGAAAGAAGTCTTCAGTAGAAAGAGGTACATAGTTAGTCAGTCTTAATGGATGTTTAATTTTTTTAACAAATGGACATCTTAGAATTATGTGATTTTTAAAGTTACTTGCTATTATACAGGGTATATAGGCAGTGCAATCATAATAACAATTTAGATCTTTTTTGAAAACCCCAGCCTTTTAAAAGCATCTGTGTCCTGACATGTTTAATCACACTGATATTGTGATATGACAGTGTTGGTGCATTATTTCCAGAAGGCTTTTCTTCCAAATCATCATCTGATCTATGAAGCAAATGTGCACAGTGTATTTAGTATGCCAGCAAACAGTCACTGGGATTTATTTTTTCATTCCCCAAAAGCTAATCAAAAGCCCGGGGCTCTTCTATTTTGGGGCAGCTCTGCATATTTTGCTTGTGTACTGTTTCTATTTACATGTTGGCTGGTGTGTAGTTATTAAAGACTCTGTATTGGATTTTCAGTGACATCCTGCTGTCTGGACAGCACAATCCAATTTGCATGTCCCATTCAGCTGTTGTGGAGAGAAGCCTGTTGCCATGGAGAAGATTATGATGTCTCTCATCAGATGGACTCCAGAGATGGGGATGGGCTTTGCACAGTCACATGCAAATATGTGCTTTAAAGGATACAGCTGGCTTTTGGGAAAGTACTGGATTACCAGAGCAGCTACATTTGCTATGAGTCATTAAATGAGAAATCTGTGATGTATTTTGCTATAATAAACCCCCACTGCTCTCTACTTTCATGCCTGTTGATCGAAAATCAGAGTCTGCATTTTACAATCAGTGTCCTTTTCAGGTGTATAAATTAAGAGGCTTGCCTGTTTAATTTCGGACTTGTCCAGGATATTGCCCCACAGTTGACCACTCTGTACAAATTGATATATTATTTTGTTTGCTTGCTTTGTTTTGGTGCCTGTTGTTGAACCTAGGGGACTTGCACATGCCGAGTACCGACTCCAGCACTGAGTAAAGCCCAGCCTTGCCTGAGCCAAGCCTAACCCTCCCTGAGCCCTAAGCCTAGCCCTCTCTGTATGTTACCCTGGGACTTCATCCCGAGTTCAGGAGAACAATGTCCCATGCCAACGTGGATTGTATATAAACACAAATCCTTCTATGCAAATTGGAGGGACTCTGCCCATCAGGAGTTGTTCTCCAAACTGAGAATTTTGCTGAGAATGTGTATCACAGGTTAACCAATTTTTAAAAAACACAGATTTCTTATATTTGGGGACTGTCAATTTAAAATGAAAGCCCTATTTAAAAGCCTGTAATGAAGTTTCTTAGAATCGCACCTTTGCAGAAATCTTGAATTGTCATCCTGAATGACAAAATTAGCTTATGATAATTACAGGTTAAAGTCATAATTAAACTAGTGGTTTAATAGTCTAATAAATAGACACACATCTTAGTTTCACGAAATGGCTTATTTTCTGTAGCTCACTACAGCACTTTCTTTTCTTTTGGTGGTTCATGTGGTCTGGATTTCATGACCCACAGACAAATCTCAGAGACATACACATGTGACCTCTAGAGAATGTCCTCCTATTTCTGGAATAGAAAAAACAAAAAACAAGAAACACACACATAAAAATAAAAAAAAAAGAAAATCAACTCTCCCTTGCCACATTGTGAGGCTGATGACCCCTGTGTTTGCCTTTCAGATCCCCAGCTCAAGGGTATAGTGACCAGGTTATATTGCAGGCAAGGCTACTACTTGCAAATGCACCCCGATGGCGCTCTCGATGGAACCAAGGATGACAGCACCCATTCTAGTAAGTGACAACCTCGGGCCACCCGCTAACTCAGTTGTGAGAAGACACGTGCTACTCAAATGGCTTTATGAGAAACTTTTGTGAATTCTTGGCTACATTGGTTTGTTTTCACAGAAGTTGCCCATTAGAATGCATGCACAGAGAAGAAGGAAGAGAATTTTTATTTATAAGACCTCTATCAGACATTGCTTGTTTCCTGGGGTTGTGTTCTTAAGCTGAACATTTCAGAATGGTCAGTACTTTAACATCTAGAAAAGATACTAGTTTCTTAGGATTCAAACTTATGTTATACTTATATTGCATGCCCACATATTCATTCTTTATCAGCCACTAATTATTTTTTTTCTTCCTCCTTCTATCCCTTCCCTCTTCCTTTTATTTTGTTTTTCTTTTCTTTTCTTTTTGCCAATGCTAAAGGTTAAACTCAGAATTATATATGCCAGGCAAGCTAGCACTACTGAGCCACATCCCCAGCCCAGAGATCCTTTCCTTGTGTCTTACAGTTGTGTGTAGGGTCAAGGATCTTCGTAATGCTTAACTTCCAGTATCTTCAATGATCTCTGCTTATCTTTAGCCAGAGACTAATTGGACATGAAAACTATTTTCCCATAACTCTGCTTTGAATGTGAGTTGAGATGCTCTGAAAGTTCATCAAACTGGAGAGTAATATCAATGGTAACCTCGTGACAAAAATTTTCAAGAAAAAAAAAGTGTAACTGTAGGAAAGTGCTGCTTCTTTAGACCACTTTAAAATGATTTCCCATGAATAAAGATTCTAGGAATATTTTGCCATATTTCTTCCTTGTTTTGAGGGTGTGGGGATGGGTGAAGTCAACAAAATGGTACCTAGATAATGAAAATCAGTGTCACACTGAGAAGTTGCAAGCACACATTTCAAAACATATTGCTTTATAATTGAACAAGCAGCACATTATTTTCTAAATTTTGAAGTATAGGAGTGGAAGTATATACACACATAGTTGGGTCTAGTTGTCTGAAATATATTAAAAATCTAAACCCAAAAGCTGAGGAAGGGAAAGATGCACTATTTCTAATCTCTAAATGCCCATGGCTCTTTGCACTTGTCCTGTGTCTATGGCAGAAGGAACAGAAACATTGATTAATGGCTGAAATCCTCTTGTCCTACTCTCCTAACCATCCTGAGGTTAGGGCTAAACTCTTGCTTAATAGCAAGCCAGAAGTAAATCACAGTACCCCTACCCATTGTGAGGGGCTTGAATTCTTATGCAAAGTTCTGGCTATAGTTTCTTTTCCTATACATTATTTTATATTTTATGTGTACTTTAAGCCAGCTGTGTTAGGTTTTTAGTTTTGTTGCCATTTTGAAATTTGCAAACACATGGAGTGAATGACAGGTTCTTGTCTCAGGAAATCTGTCAAATTGTATGGCTATAACATATAATAAAAATTGGCAGGATTATAGCAGATGGGTAAGAACAATGAGGATTGCCAATTAACTCCATTTTGCGTATTATCAAACTTTTAAATTGAAAATAAATTTCAAATGATTTTATTTATGTTCTTTTTAAAGTCAGTTTTGTGTCCTTTGACAGTTTCCAGTAGGTGAAGTGAGGGTAGGTCAGCTTTTTTTAGAATGAACACCGAGATTGTTTTTCCTCTGGTTTATTATAATATGGAAGTTCGGAACCTTGTAATTGTTAGAAATGAAGAGTTTTCTGGAAATAGGAAGGCATATTTAGAAACGCAGACATTTCTATTTTGATATAGCCCTTAAACCAATAATGCCTTCTCAAGAGGGAAGCTTACAAGTACAACGACCTAACAGCTCCTAACTAGAGTATGGGCCTTTCAATTAAGGTGAATGTGATATGGTAATTAATCAAAATTATTTCTTTTGATAATTCACCAAACGCAAACTAAGAAGTAGTTTGTTATATATTAGAACATAATCAATAACCCAAGATGTAATCAGAGAGCACTCTAAAATTTACCAAGTTACAGAGCTGAAGACTTGAACCTTCAGCCCTCTATGATTAGAGTCCACCACATTCCTCACTAAATATGGAATTATTTAGAGAGAAAAACTGAACCTTGCCAACCTGAAGAGTTGCCTTTGTGTAAAATTTTAGAGAAGAGGTAAAAGAGCCCACAGGCTAGTGAGCCTTTTCCTCTCACCCCTCCCCCATGTCTAAATTCTAGAGAACTCTGGGAACAAAAAATGGCAAGATATCCTTGATGAGTAAATGGTCCCAGTGGAGACGATCTGGTTGTAATCTGACTGCTTGTCATTGGCTTTCAGGTACTGTAGAGAGTCTGTCCTTACAGAAGGGAGTGCAGCCTGCCCAGGTGGCCTCATCAACCATATTCACTTCTAAAGTGTAACTTCCTTTGAAATTCTACTTACCATCTCCATTAGCACAGCTGCTGTAACGTATAGCATTTTATCAGGCAGTGGTCTTCCCTGCTTCCTTTTTACTTTTGGAAATACCAGGGATTTATTTTTCCTGTGTGTATTAATTTATTTTCTGTTGCTGTGGCAAAATACCCTAACAAAAACAACTTAAGGGTTTATTTGGGTTTATAGTTCCAGAGGGTCCATCATGGTGGGGAAGACCTGGCAACAGGCAGGGACAGCATGGTGGTTGAGACAGGAAGTTGGCTGATCACCTTACAGCTATACCCAGGAAGTCAAGAGAACAGTATAAAACTTCAAAACCTAACAAGTACCTCCAGCAAGGTTTCATCTGCTAAAGTTTCTGTAACCTCCCCAAACAATACCACCAGCTGGGGACCAAGTGTTTAAACATGGGAGTCTACAGGGGGCAATGCATATGTATTTTCAACTTTCATTGTTCCTATGACTAGAATTTATAGCTTCTACATGTGAGCTGTGGCTACATAAACATCAGCCACTTCCCTACTAACCATAACAATGCTAAAGCTCTAGAAGCAATGCCTTTCACCCCAGAAATGTTGGGCTGGTTAACTTGATATGCAAAACTTGTGACACCACCCAGAAGTTTTAGGATGACAGTTCTCACCTGGATTGCATGCTAGGCTTATTTGAAGAACTTTTAGAAAAATTTCCTTATGTCCTTAACCAAATCCTAGAGATTCTGACTTAATGGGTCCAGAGCTGGGGATGGTCATTTTATTTCATAAAGACAGCCAGTTTTCATGTGCAGCCAGAGTTAAAACTCCCTGTTGTTCACAAAATAACCACTATCATGGGGCACATCTTACTCATTCCCCTAGGCTTTGCAACATTGCTTTGGAATTATGTAAAATTCAAAGACAGTGGAAAATAAATGACTACATCTGTGTTTTTAGCTATGACCACACATCTACAATGGTCAGCTCCACACTGTAATGGTTCTATGAGTTCCCCTTTTATTACCAGCCTGTAAATTATAGTTGCTTTTATTTCATAATTTACTTCCTTACCAAAATCCTGAGGCAGGGCAGTGTACTTTGTATTATGATTGCTTTAGACAAATTTTTCAATTTCCCATCATACTTTTTGCTATATCTTATGTAAAAGAGTTGAGGTCCTACAGTTACAATGTTTTACCTATACATTTATGGCAACATCTTAATGCTTTCCATGGTACTCCAATGACTTAGGAGTAGATTCAAGTTAAGGAGTTGCAGGAGAGTAGACAACTTTACTTTGGATAATAGCACTCTTATCAATACATCTATAGTAAAGTCTCTCAAACCGTAGAGTACTTATACTAAAATGATGCTGGAATATTCAATAAACAATCTACAAGTAACAGAACAGGAGCTGATAATATCAAAGATTGCATTGTGAAGTGCACTGGGTGAAATATATATTAAAACACTTTATTAACAAGGGAGTAAAAACACAGAAGCACAAATGGGTTTTAATTTATTAGAGAGATAAAATTGAACACAATCCTTTTTTAGTCATAGTTTTATAAAATATTAATAAGTAAAACTCTGTCCTGAAAATTTGCACATCCTCTAGTGTGATGAGTTGTTTCTAAGTTTAACCCATTGGCAGGTGCATATTTTTTTCTTGGATTTCCTGGTATCTCAAAGTTAGTTCTTCAAAAGTAACTTAGTTTTGGGAATTACCTTTGAACTTCTGGCCCACAGTATACTGCAATGGCAAATCACATGGTATAAGAGAGGAGAACAGACTTTCAACTTGGATTTTTCAAATTCTGCTCTCTGGGAATTCTCACAGCTGATTGTATTTGGATTCTAGTATGGTCCGAGGCTGATATACCAGAATCGTGTGTACAGGCTTGATTCTGTTCACTATCCCACCAACGGTTCAGAAGGTTACAGCAAGCTTGAAGAGGAGACTTGCAAGCTGAAGCTTGAATGCTCATTACACACCTAGAAGCCACTTCATCATAAAGGGAAACTGAAATTCAGTTGGAACTTTGTGGAAAAAAAAGAAATAAATATATTTGTAAATAAAAGAAAAGGCATAAACTGCTATGGTGATGCTTTGCTTCTTCCTGCCCATTGATAACAGATGATGTCTGTCTTCACAGCACTGTTCAACCTCATCCCAGTGGGACTGCGAGTCGTTGCCATCCAGGGAGTGAAGACAGGGTTGTACATAGCCATGAATGGAGAAGGTTACCTCTACCCATCTGTAAGTGACACGCCAATGACTTTGGCCTGCTGTATAGTGTTGGTAAAGTAACATTAGCAGCAACAAAACCCAAAGATGGGTGTGCATGGATTCTCTTTTCACTTCAGTGTTTGGTTTGGTTTGTGATGCTGTGGGAGCTGCATTTGTTATTCACCAGTGTTGGATCATACAATATAAGCATATTGGAAAGAGTAGCAACCTTAAGTCTTGAAATGTATAGAGAAATGACCTGATTCCCAGAAAATTTGTCTATGTTGAAAGCATTGGTGTTACTACAATCTTTTTATTTCTGTTTAGAAATGGACTTGTTGTGAATACTATCTTAAAAATGGACCAGTTCAACACATTTTCTTTTACATTTATTTTTTAATTGGCTTAATAACTAAATATTTATCAAGTTCAATGTGATGCCACAATCTTTCTCCACACTGAAGATTCAGCTGAGCTCACTAACATATCTGTCATCTCACCAGCATTATTACAGTAAATATATTAAAGTCTTTTTTTTAAGTTTGAAATATACGTATTATTTACTATGCTTGCCACTAAGACTTATTCTTCCAAACTAACCAAAACTTTCTGCTTCATCAACACCTCCCTCTCCCCGTCCTTCTGTGGTAACCAGCTTTTTGGTCCCCATTTCAATGAGACCTTTTTTAAATTCTAAAAACAGTGTATGATCTTGCTTATATGTGGTATCTAAAAGGTTATATTTTAGAAAAGAGACAATTTGAATTCTTAAAGAGAGGGAGCATAGTAATCTTTTTTGTGGATGATATCATCTGTGGATACCAGCCGTCTATATAAAATGGTGTGATATTTTCACATAGACTACATGTCCTCTTGTATACATTAAATCATCTCTAGATTATTAATAATATATAATGTGTTATAGATTCTATGTAAATAGCTGTTATGTATTGTTTAGGGAATAGTGATATGAAAAAGGTCTATACATGTTTAGTGCAGACATTTAAAAATACTTTTGATCTGCTTCGGTGAAACTACAGACACTGAACCAGTAAGTAGAGAGGGCCAAGTACAATTGGTTTAATAGGAATTCAAATAATGTAAATACTTTACTAGGAATGAACAACTGTTTCTAGTGTTGAAATACATATTTCGCACACATCTAAGCTTGACTTTCCCTTTTGTATTTGTATTTATTAGAAGCTAAGCAGTTTCTCTGCTACATAGCCTCCACTGGAACATTTCTCACTTATAAACAGTTTGTAGTCAGGTATGTTGTGTCCACGTGTTACCATACAGTTTGACTTCAGTTCCATTGCAGACCAAAGTATTGAAGATGGCATCAGAAGAGTTTTTCCCACTATTCCTTGCTAATAAGTTGATTAAAATGTAAATGTCTTTAAAATATATTTTCATTTAAGTTTACTTTTCATTTTCATTCAAAGTCTTTGAAAGTTTCTTGTTATCTGGCACTGCCATTCATTAGAAGCACTTAATGCTGAAGTTACCATGTTTAATAAGATCTGACTGAGCTTTGAAACAATGTGGGCAATTGTTCATTTCCAAGAGTTGATCTGTCTTCTACGTTAATACTGCCTGTAATTGCATGTATTCTTTTTCTTAGTGTCTGGAGGGAGGGAGAGAGAGAGAGAGGGTAATCTCATCAGCCTTCCATGGCAGGTGACGTGTTTTTCTCAGCAAATCTGCAAAACCCCGTCACAGGGAAATGAGAGGCAAGCAGAAGATTCCCTTCATAGGGAGCTTAAAAATAACAGAGCTCTTACCTAAGCTCCCTGAAGGGTATTCCTGCACACAGAACTGGGTCTTACATTATGCAAACTTCATGCTGCTGCAGGAGATGAATATGCAACACACTGCAAACAAGATCAAGCTAGAATTTATTATGCTCTATCTAGAAAAATAAGTAGAGAAAAAGATCATTTCTAGTGATGACTCATTTCAGATATAACTCAGTCTTATTGATTTGACATTTGTTCTGTTATTTCTTGTTTATTTTTTCCCAAAAATGATCTTTGAGATGCCTTAAATATCACTAGATATGGTGTCTACCATGGCATCTACTGCATTCTGTTGCTAATTTTGCCACATGGTTGTGCACTGATGTATGTGTTGTTACATGGAATTTATGTTTGCTTTAACATTTTGCTTCTATTGGAGATGCTTTTAATGATTTTTTGGTCAGGTTATAATGTAGCCCATTCCTCTTTAAAGACAAAGCATGACCTCTAGAATATGTGTCTTAGCCTAGAACAAATTCTACTATGTTTAGAGCAGTCAGTAATAACTGAAGCTAGGAAGGGATCCTCCAGTCCAATCTGCGCTTTAAACAGGGCTTCCCTGCTCATGCAGGATTCAGCTCTCCGGAAGCTGCTGTGGGAAACAGCACCTCCAAGTGTAAGTACTGTAGGCTCTTGATGCATTGTCTTCTGATTCTGTGGGTTCTTGGGTTCTGGGCATCCCCTGTGGTGGCTTGGTTCTCTGGCTTACAGATCTTAGTTTCTCTTCTTCCCATCTTTGGCTTTGTGCTCTGAACAGGCTCTGATCCTAGACTTGTTATTTGCCCAGCCTTAGCATATGCATCTTTGCCCAGCTGGGGAACTGGGACCCTTATTATCTTTATTATCTTCCAGGAAAAAACTTAGATAAAAAAGTGAAGCAAGTCTTTCCCTCTACTCTATGTACCACTTATTCCAACTAAATACAGTCTGAACTTTAAATTTTTCAGTGGAAAGACTGTTTATCCATAATTCCTCATTCTATAATAAGTCGGTGCAAGCCTACTACAATAAGAGCATAGAACATATTGTAAAAATTTTTTACTTTATAATCATAGCTAGATTTATATATCAATTGTAGTAGCATGTGTCCATTCTGCCTAGGACTGTTTCAAGGATGAATTAATTCATTTAATTGTCCTAACAATCTTTTAAAATGTAATAAACATAATTAATATAACATAAATAAAGGCACTGATATGTAGATGACTTAAAAGTCTGCCTTAAATCATTCCATGGGATAGATAGGAAAGAAATCCAGAATTTGTGAGTCAACTGATTTCTTAGCTTACATTTTTTTACTATACTGTTTCCATGTGAAACATTTTTCATAATATGCTCTGACATCTATTATAACAAGAAGCTAAAAACACCAAATGGGGCCACCTGGGGAATAAACTTTATTTCAGGACAATCATTAGGAAGTATAATTTTAAATATAATCTGTTTCCTTAGGAGAGTTTCAAATGAAAAGTAAAAATCAAAGGAAATTCTCTGCCTCCCCCAGTTGCCAATAGCTCCTCAGCAAAATGGCTGTGACTAGAGAGTCAGTTTTCTTTGTATATGGGCCCTGATAGGCTGCCCACATTCCCACAGATGGTCCTATACCCATATGTATCCTATCAGCACTAAGTACTCAGTGGATTTAAAAATCCACTGAGCATACCAAGGTGAGCGGGAAAAGCTGTGAGTAGTATAAGCAGAGTTGTAGGAGGAGGAGGGGAGCGTTCAATCAAAATAAATTATATGCATGTATGAAATTCCAAACAATAAAATTTAAAAATAAAAATAAGATCATTACAGTTAATATAGTGCACTTTAAATTGTATTTTTGCTGTTAATTCCTGGTGTCTGTGTGTGCATATATACATGGGAGTACAGGTGCCTACGGAGGCCAGAAGAGGGCATCAAATCCTTTGGAGCTGGAGTTACAGGTGGTTGTGAGCTGCCTGCTGTGGGCACTGGAGACCAAATTTGATTCATCTGCAAAAGCAGCATGTCCTCTTAACTGCTGAGTTATCTTTCTGGCCCCGATTCTTTCCATTAAAAAAAGAAGTGTAGGAAACTATATGCTTTTGGTGGGAGAGGTTTGATAATATATAAATGTTTGACATTTTGAATTTTATTACATTTAACCTTTGAGATTTAAATGACAATCATTATTAACACATCGAAAAACCTTTGAATTCACTCGGTTAAGATTTTTAAATGAAAATTTGAAGTTTTCTAGTCAAGCTCAGATTTAAAGAAAAAGTTAATGGCCATTTAATCAGAGAAAATAAGTGATCTGTTTTAAGTTTTTATTACATTAAAGAAAATTAACTTAGACCTGGAGTGATGACTCAGCACTTAAGAGCACTTGCTGCTGAGGACCAGAGTTCAACTCCCATTACCCACTTCAGTTGGCTTGATGCCAGATCTAGGGGATCAGATCTCCTCTTCTGGCATCCAAGGATACCCACACACATGTACACACACAAACATAAATAGAAAAATAATAAAATAAATCTTAAAAAAGAAAATTAACTTAGTGATTTTTTTTCAATGTTTATTACTGTCTAATATGGGATGGATTTTATTAAAGATCTATAGACAGGGAGCTGAAGTAGTAAAATAGGTCATTCAAAGTGAGTTCTATTCAATGAAATCACACCAGTCAGGGGCTCTAGGTGTGTATTACTCTGTTTAACAGAGTAGCTCTTGCTATCTAAATGAAGATATTCATTGTGTCAGATAATTCTCCCTTAGGGGGACCAAGAATGTTATCTTGACTGAGATGTCAAGAATCACATTCCTACTGCTGAAGGCAGTTGTTGCCTGTGGAAACTTTTCTTCCATGTGACAATAGTGATTTCTTTTGTGGCCATAATGCTTGTAGTGTTATTTGATATGTGTCTCAAGAGATTTAGCATCATAGGAACCATTTGCTTGGAGGTACAATGCAAGCGGCAAGGTCAGCGAACAAAAACTGAAAATATATTGTTCAAGAAGAAGACAGATTAAAACACTGCTTAAGAAAAAAAAAAAGTACGTTTTAACCAACTGAAAGCTACCTATTATGCTGAAAAGAATAGTTGAGTGTTTTGTTTCACCAAACAATTTGACTTTTGAAAGACTAGGAAAATCCCCTGCAGAAAGTCAAGGGCTAGAAAACAAATTCTATATACTAAAGAATAATGTGGAATGAAAGGAAACTATCACTCATCGCTTGAGTAGTAAAAATGAATAATTAAA